GACACCCCCCCACCCAAGAAGGCCTTGAGGTAAGGGAGGGGCCTCTGAACAGGAGGAGGGGCAGCCAGGAGGATTTTCTTTTGGGGGGGGTCCTGATAGGAAGGGGGAGCAGGACCCCAAAGAAAGTAGGGGAGGAGGGGAGGGCAGAGCCCCCCTGAATATTTGAAGGACCCAAAAGGGAGTTAAGGGACAGAGGTCCCAGAAGGGTAAGGGGTGGGTGGGAAGGAGACCCCAGGGTGGAGGGAGTGGGATCCAAGCTGGATCTGCTCAGCCCTGGGGTAGCAGGTTTCTGGCCATGGCAGGAGAAATCTGGCCTGGAGAACCCGATGATGGTTTCCCCCTTCAGTGTGTTTCCCTCTTCTGTATTTATTTGCTGTGTGTGGTGTTGTCTTCTTGGGGTGGGGGTGGAAAGGGGGGAGGTTGCAGGGCCAGAGCCATGGCTTTCCCTTCCTGGAGAAAATGTCTATGGAGATTCTCAGTCATCCAGGTAACAAAGGTGGTGGTGATGTTTTTTTTCCCCCAAAAGCCAATTGGATGTTCTTGTTTTTTCCTTGAAGACATTTCGCCTCTCATCCGAGAAGCTTCTTCAGGAGCTGACCTGTGAAAGGAAACCTGAGGAAGCTTCTCGGATGAGAAGCAAAACATCTTCAAGGAAAAACCAAGAAAGTCCAATTGGCTTTGGATAAAACCTCCCTTCGGAGTTTCCCCAATAAAGAATCTGGTTGGGTTGTGATGTGTGTATCAATAATAACAAGCCAGGATTGACATTGCACGTTTACGCAATTGGCATTAAGTAACATCATTTATGTTTTTTTGCAAAGTGGTCAAATGGGATGGGAGCAGAAGGATCCAGATTGTTGCATCTTTAAGCAGGGATGAAATGCCTGTTGTTTGGAAGCCTGGAGAGCCACCTGCCAGTCACTGGTTTTGAGTCTGCATGATATATCCTGCTTACCCATGATTTTGCTCAATTCAAGTAATTTCTGACTTACATGTGACAGGCTGAACCATCAACTGGCTCCACAACACTCTAAGATAAACTTGGCTTGCTAGTTTTGGTTCAGTTAGTCATGTGAATGTAGCCAGTGTGATCAGCCATTCTAGAAATGTTGTGGTTGGACTTGATCTGTTCCTTGATATCTGGCTGTCTATTTTCCCTCTAGGTTTTGCCACACAACAGGCATCTTTTATGACTTATCCAAGGCCACCCAGTAATCTTGATGGATGAGCAAGACTTTTATATAGCACTTCTGATCACTGAATCACTTTACTTAGTGCGCAGTGATTTTCATGGACATCTTGTGGCCATGATTATAAAATTCTTGCAACTTCCTTCAGAGGTAGATTAGAATTATATAGTCTATTAATAAGTGAATAGGTCACCCAGTGTGATGTATAGCAGGCAGGTTGATTTGAACTGTGATCTTTATGGTTTTAACCACGCTGACACATACAAGTAGCCCTCGACGTATGTCCACCACAGGGGCCAGAAAATTCATTCATAAAGTGGTGCAGTCATTAAGTGAGGCATTATGTGATTTTTACCTCCTTTTTTGCCATGGTCATTAAGTGAACCACTGTTCTGGTCATGAAGTAAGACAGTGATAACAACTTGCAACTTCCCTGCTGGCTTCCCCATTGGCTTTGCTTGTTGGAAACCAACTAGGAAGATCAGTTGACAGATGCTGCAACCGTTATAAGTGTGCGACAGTTGCCAAATGCCTGAATCATGATTACATGACTGCGCGGAGGCAGTTGTAAATGCAAGGACCTGTAATAAGTCACTTTTAAAAAATGTGTCTCTGAATGGTTGCTAAGCAAATGGTCATAAGTAGATTTTAAATGCCCTTCTTACGCTTTAATTCTTAATTTTAAATTATGCTTAAATTGATAAGAAGGAACCTATTATTTATCGCCTATTTGAGACCTGGCAGGAAAGGGGCTTGGCTAAGATTAAATTTTGAATTGAGGATTCTTTTATTCATAACCTGAACTTCAATCGTATGCGTATCCACCTTTTAGTGAATTCCGTTGAACATATTGTGACTTGTTTTCTGTGGATTTGCTTAGCACTGGGCTGTCTGTTTTTTAAATGTCACGCTGTGTTAGATCACCGTGTGCTCTCCAACTTGGCATAGATGAAATTATGGATATTCAAGTCCGTTTACGGTGGCCCAACATGGAGGGTGATATCTGGAAAGAGATGGCATAACATAAGGCACCATTTGATGTCATTTAAGTGCTGGGTTATTTCTTGAGCTCAGTTATATCCATCATTTCTCTTCCTTAATCTCTTGTGGTAATGATTTAACTTCTAGGCCCCAGGGTGGGCTGGGGCTGGTAAACAGGAATATAGGTTGTCCTCAACATATGACCACAATTAAACCCAAAAATTTTGTTGCAAAACAAGATAACTTGTTGAGTGAGTTTTGTCCCATTTTACAACCTCCTTTGCCATAATTGTTAAGTGAATTCGTCCAGTTAAGTTAGTAACATGCTGGTTAAATGATTCTGGGTTCCCCGTGTCGCCAGAGATGCTCAGTGAAAAACGGTCATAAGTTATTTTCTTCAATGCCGTTAAAACTTCAGTCACTAAATGAATGGTTATAAATCAAGGACTACCTGTGTTTTCATAAGACATTCACTGCCTGGTGTGATTTAGGCCCATCACTGACAGGTGAAAATCCGGCCTCCAGTACATCCACATCAGGCTTGGACTTATAGAGAGAACCAAATGGAGAAAGACTTGGAAGAAAATTTAAGGTTAAAGAATCTGAAACAATTCAGGGAATTTTGTCAATATAAATGGTAGTTTATACAGATTATTAAGTACAAATTGAAGTACATATTATTTTAACAGCAAGGAATATAAATAGTAATGGTTAAATTGATTGTTCTATTCAAAGAGGAGAATCTATGTTTTTTAGTTGGAGTCTGGATTTTGTGCTTCTGATGAAAAAAAATGAAACTTTGACTTTGGTTTTGCTGGTTATTTGTTACAGAAATGACTAGTTATATACTAATGTGTAAAAGTAAAACTTTGAGGTTGTAATGTTGTTACTATGTACTGTGCTACAAAGAATCGGAAGTCAACGCCTTTTTCTTTCTTCCCTTGTAGCTCATATTTTCTTCCCCCCTTTTTTCTTCCCTGAATTTTCTGAGGTTTTTTTCTATTTTATACATTGACAAAACAATAAAAGCTACAGAAAAAGAGAAGGACTTAGATGCTCATTGCTTTAAACTCTCAGGAGGAAAGAATAGGGTGTGTGTGTGTGCAATAAGTTACAGTGGATTAATGAAAAATTGGTGTAAAGTACTTCAGAGATAATTCTTAGAGGCTGGATGAAAGAAAAAGATAAAAGACCCTTAAGAAATAGGTTTCTTTCAATCGTCCAGCCACCAAATACCTAGCCAGAGGTTAGATGTTTAGCTGTACATCATTATACCTGCAGCACTTTACAGAATACATAATAGAAAGGCTGCCCTCAGCCACAGACAGCTCATAATTTAATTTTTGTTTAAGGGCTATAGTTTTGTTTAAAAGGGTAAAAGGAGAGGCAACAATAACCCAAAATGCATGCATAGTTCTTTATAATTGGGGTTAATGTGAAATGGTTTCTACCTTTATTCCCAGTCTCTCTGAATAGCGGTAACATCTTAGCAAAAAGGAAAACTGGATGGGGATTTGAGTTTTGATCTTCCAACCAGGCAGCATAATCGCAGTTCATCTAAGGAGCAGTCAAGTCTTATACAGACTTTGGATTATAGGAGCCTAGAGATTTGGTGAAAGGGAGATTTATTCCCGTACTTGACGGACAGCTTGAATGAGCACTTTTGATCTAAGGACAGTTAGTTGCAGGGATATGAGGCAAACCTTGAAAACTGGGTGTTTCGGTTTGTAGGTCATGCTACAAGAGCTTAGACTTAATTTTGTGTTAATTAAAAGCCTTTCTCCGTTCCCACATTTGACTGTGGTGGAGAATGATTCACTCTCCTCTTTCTTCCCTTTTGTATTTAACTTAGTTATAGTTCCAAGATCTCAGCCTTTTCTTTCTTTCCTTTTTTATTGTGTATGCTTCACAAAAGTTTCTAGAAAGCAAAACAAGAGTTTCATGTTTAAAGAGGTGTGAGCTAGAAACCCAGGCGTCAGTTCTCGCCTTGCCTACAGTTTTGTTTAATTGCATAAGGAATATTATCATTTCCTCATTACTGGTCTTTTCTGCGATTATAAAGCCATTGAAATATAAAATGGTTTGTAATAGTTTCTTGTAATTTCTGCAATGATTGACCTACTTTATAAGATTATTGTAAGGCCATTGCCATATAATCTGGACTGAACATTTTGTGGTACAAATTGAGCCTCAAATTTCTGTTGCTAAGTGAGGCATTTGATAAGTGAATTCTGCTCCATTTTTTCTTGCAACAGTTGTCGGGCAAGTCCCTGAGATTGTTAAGTAAGTGACTAAATGGACTGTTCTAAGTCAAAATTACCTGTAGTTTCATGCTATTAATATCTTCATGATATAAAGAAAAAACTTCATATATAAGGAGACCTACATTTCTTAACAGGCCTCCATCAGCAGAGTCCCTGGCTTAGTTCTGCTGAGAGGGCTCTTTTTCTAACTTCCTTAACAGCCTTCTGCGTGGAAATAAGTTTCAAAAATCGATGATTGTTCAGTTTTAACTTGTCAAATGCTGTAGCTCAAGGCCAGGGCTCCTGCTTAGCCTTCAGAAGATCCCTGGTCCCCTCTTCTTTTTTGACACTTGGACCGCCTGACGTCTCTGGGCCACAAATGGCTCCCCACAGTTTTGGATCTGTCTTGTATAACAGGGTGGGGAACAGACCTAATTATCCCCTAGTTTGATCTAGTGGTTGGTCAGGCTAGAAACTGGGAGATGGGAGTTCTAGTCTGACTTTTGGCCAATCACCAGGAGACCTGAGTTCTAGTCCCACCTTAGCCATGAAAGCTGGCTGGGTGACTTTGGGCCCAGGAGCTGGAGAATTCTAGTCCTGCATTAAACCGGTTGGTGACTTTAGGCCAGTCACACACTCACGCTCTCTCGCTCTCACTCTCTCTTGTAATAAATATAACAACCCTGGGCTTATTGCGGATTTCTGAAAGCCAGATTTAAAATGCTTGTTCTCCCTTACATTTTCATAAGCGTGCAGGCAAAAGAGCTGTCCTCTGTCCTCTGAATGGAAAGTCCCTTTTTTTTCTCTTGGTCCCCGTCAATCTTCACAGTGACTCATGATGGATGGGCAGATGGATGTTGATGGCTTGCCAGCAGCTAGCTTGAATAATGCCTGTAGCCCAGGGAGGATGCTGGGATTGTTTTCTTTTGCTCCCAAGATGGGGCTAGTGAGAGCTGCAGGTGGAGGTGTGCACACTTAGGACGAATTTCTGTCATTGCTTGAGGTGGTTGTTAAGCATATTTTGCCCTGTTTTTCAGCCGCATGCTGGCGGGGGAAGTCTGGGAGTAGAAGTCCACCCACCTTAAACTGGCCGACGTCAAAAAGCACCACTCTAATGTTTATTTTTGTGTCAAGCCAGAGTCTGTGTGGTTTGTAAGCCGTTATGGCCGAAGGTTATGTGTGAGTCGAGCTGCTAGGCTGAACGCAGTTGCATTTCATCCTTGTATCTTTGATGCGTTTTATCACCACGCTGGAAAGGTTGGGTGCAGCTTGTGTTTGGGCAGAATCGGGGGCCCTTGGAGGAGGAGGAGGAGGAAGAGGAAGTGGTGGCTACATCCTGTTCTGCTTATGTCTTTGTCTCTAAGACACCAAGGAAAAACATCCCTCCTGGCCTTGACCGTCTCCTCCTGGGGCTTCTTCCATCACACTTTGGAAATCACCAACAGCAGCGTAGAATTGAGTTGAAATAGGAATAGTAGAATAGAAATAGAAGAGTTGGAAGGGACCTTGGAGGTCTTCTAGTCCAACCTCCTGCTCAGACAGGAGACTCTCTACCATTTCAGACGAATGGTTGCTCCGTCTCTTCTTAAAGAGTTCCAGTGTTGGAACATTTACAACTTTTGGGGCCAAGTCATTCCACTGGTTGATGGTTGAAACTGCCAGGAAATTTCTTCTTAGTTCTCTAGGTTGCTTCTCTCTTTGATTAGGTTCCATTTTCAGAATTTACTTGTTGCAGCAAGTACAGGTAGTCCTCAACTTACAACCATTCATTTAGCGACAACCATTTGTTTAGTGACTGCTCAAAGTTACGAGCTCATGGGGGCAGGAAGGGACTTATGACCATTTTTCATGCTTACACCCGTTGTAGCATGTGAGCAAAATTCAGATGCTCAGCAACTGACTCGTATTTATGACGGTTGCAGCATCCCAGGGTCACGTGATCTCCTTTTGCGACCTTCTGACAAAGTCAATGGGGAACCCAGATTCACTCCACAACTGTATTGCTAACTTAACAACTTCAGTGATTCACTTAACGGTGGTGAGAAAGCCTGTAAAAGGGGACAAAATGCACTTAACAACTGTCTCGCTTAGGGACAGAAATCTGGGCTCAATTGTGATCTTAAGTTGAGGACTAGCTATACTACGATTAATACAATGCAGTACCCACTGTATTGTACCTCCCTCAGATTTGTCAGGCATTCTACAATTCTAGGTCAGTTTTAACTAGAAAGATGCTTTTAAGCGTTTCTTTTTTATGTACCGCTCCTTATTTTGTACTGAATGTTCTAGAGACTCAGAAATTGTTTTCTCTTCTTTTTTATTTTGGCTGGTTAATGGTCACAATAAAGTTATTTGTATACAATTAGTATAGATTGTCCTGCTTGAGCAGTGGCTTGGAAGGGTCTCCCAATAGAAATGAGAAAGGGGCTGCCCTCCAAACCCAGCTAAATGTAGACTCTTACAGATGACTTTGGGGTTGCACTAAATATTGATGGCTGCTGAGCTAATATTGCACCATACTGGAGATTTACAGTCTTTTATATGTCTTAATTATATATCAATTTTCATTGTAAACTGCCAGGAGTCCTCTGGGATTGGAGTACAATATCAATGTAAGAAATAAAGTAAATGATTTTTTTTTCCTTTTACCTGGGGCAGAGGCACCCCCAGAGTGAAGCCCACTTTCACAATGTCCAAATAGCACAAAAGATGGCTAATATTGTGTGTGTGCTTTAAAGGTGCCCAGATCCAACTTGCCATGCTGTGCCTAGTAACGAGGGCGTTTCTCTGGCACTCGGTAAGAACGAAAGCTGTCCTGGCGAGGCACTCTGAAAAGATGCTTTGCAGCTAGCATTAATCAGTCCTAGGCTGTATCAACACAGCAATAGCATCAAGGTAACATGAAGTTTTAGCACCCCCTTTGTTCTGCACTAGTGAGGCCATATCTTGAATACTATGTCCAGTTCTAGTCACCATGATACAAAAAAAAGATGTTGAGACTCTAGAAAGAGTCACAAAGATGATTTGGGGACTAGGGTCTAAAACATATGAAGAAGGATTGCAGGAATTGGGTATGTCTTAACCAAGAGAAGGACTAAGAGTGACATGGTAGCAGTCTTCCAATATTTGGGGGATTGCCACAGAGAAGAGATTGAGTTATTCTCCATAGCCTCTACAGGCAGGGCGAGAAGTGAGGGATGGAAGCTTATCAGAGAGAGATCTAACCTAGAATTACATGGAAATTTCTTGTCAGTGAGAACAATTAACCAATAGAGCAGCTTGCCTACCAGAGTTGTGGGTACTCCATCACCAGAGATTTTGAAAAATAGACCAGTTGAGATGGTTACAGGGTCTTCTGCTTGAGGAGGGGGTTAGACTAGAAGACCTCCAAGATCCCTTTCAGCCCTACGATTCCATGATGCCCTTCTTTCTGCAGAGCAGATGTGCAAACACCTGCCAGCTTCAGGCAGTAGTATCCAGGCACGTAACCCTATAAATATTCAAAGAGGAACGGCGCAGTAAACAGCATTAAAATAAAATGCTGCTCTCTGTTGCTCCAGCAATGACTGGCAGAACTCAGCTTTCTCTTCTTTCTTTTTCTCACGCAGGTGTTGGCAAGAGCAGTTTGCTGCTACGTTTTGCAGACAACACTTTCTCAGGTAAGATGGGCATTTGGCACCTCCAGTGTCCCGGGACCGTGCGATTCCTCTTTTGCCACCTTCTGACGAGCAAGGTCATGGGGAAACCAGATTCGCTGAACAGCTACATTCCTAATTTAACAACTGCAATGATTTGCTTAACAGCAGCAGCAAGGAAAGTCATAAAGCTCACTTAACAAATTTCTCACTCAGCAACATACGTTTTGGGCTCAATTGTGGTCCTAGGTTGAGGATTTCCTGCAACGCCTTTGCAAGCCACCCGATTTATCTGCGCCATGTTTTCAAGCCTTTTGAAAAGAGTTTTAAAAAGAGGCTTGTATTTGGAAAATATAGAAAACAAAAAATAATAATGAGCGCATGGTGTCCCCTTGCACAGCATAATGGTAGCTTTGTGTGGGCCCTTCACAATTTGCCTTTTAATTGTCATTTCATCTTTGCAGTTTGGGGGGTGGGGGGGTGGGTGCTGTTTATTTTTACGATCAGGATAAATTAAGCATCTTCCTTCCCTGTTAAAAATGCTTTTATAGTCTGACAATGGAGACATCCCCTCCTCCCTCTTTTAAAAAGAATAATGAGAGTTTTCAGGAGTTTGAAAGAATAGTTTCAACAGGATAGTTGAATGGAAACGGAGGCCAAGAATATTTTCCCTTAGATAATTTGTCCGCCATCCGAAAAAGGATTCCTAATCAATGTTGCACCATTCAGAAGCAGCCAGCTGTGTATAATTGACTTGTTGGTACCCTCCGAAGCTCCCACAATTTATCTGCTGTTTTTCCCTCCCACACACAGGCAGCTACATTACCACAATTGGGGTCGACTTCAAAATTCGGACAGTTGAAATCAACGGGGAAAAAGTCAAACTACAGATCTGGGACACGGCGGGACAGGAGCGCTTCCGGACGATCACGTCAACGTGAGTCGGTGGTGGTTGTTGTTTTTTAAAATGTTTTTCTGATAACTGGATTTCGTCATGAGTTTGTTCTGATAAGATTAAAGGCGACGATTGCTTCTTCCTAGCTGCTGTTTCTTTTCTTCTCCTCCGTTTGCCCCAACGAGCCAGATTGTAATCCGCGAAAGGTACAGAATATTAAGAACACACAGGAAGAGTTTATGGAGTTTTGTCTTAATATAATACAGAGGCACCTCGGTACTCTTGGGTTAATTGGTTCCGGGAGATGTGATGAGTACCAAACAATTTTTTCCCAAAAAGAGTGATTTAGTGAGTCACAAGGCAGCTGACACTGACAAATTCTAGCAATCACCAGGAGATGGGAGTTCTAGTCCTGCCTAGGCACGAAAGCCAGCTGGGTGACTTTGGGCCAATCACCAGGAGACCATGAGTTCTAGTCCCACCTTAGGCACGAAAGCCAGCTGGGTGACTTTGGATCAGTCACACTTGCTCAGCCCAGCTCGCCTCACAGGGATGTTGGAAAACAAGAGGGGAGATATTTTCTTTCTCTCTCTCCCTCCATCTCTCCCCTCTCGCCCCCCCCCCCTAAATAATATGTTTAGAATTCATTGACCGATTGCAGTATTCTTCATACTTTGCATTGAGGGTGAAGTTTTCTCTGAAGGGCCTGACTTAGCCTTCAAGTCCCACCAAAACCGTAGTTTAATTTGCTCCCAAATTAACAAAGAAATACGGCTAAAATTAGTCTGAGTAGGCCCTCGGTTCTGCATGGGATGGTGTTACAACTCAGAGTGGGAACTAAGCTTCCCTCTGTTGCTGCCAGCTCCCTTTCACACCAACAGATGCATGAATAGCGCTGAGGTTTTGTTTTCTATACAGGAGGTTGTCACAGAGTTCTGGCAAAGCGAGTTCAGGGAAAGAAATGATAGGCTAGCTATGATTCACGGCGTGATTTGAAAGGGGGAAAAACCCCACAGAAGTAATTTGGATGCTTTGACACTGAAATCTTTTTTATCCTAGCAGGGATGGTTTGTCTGGCTGATTCTAGCCGTTTTATTCTCTCTCTTTTCATTCAAGCGGATTGTTTGCTAGGGAGAATGAGGAATTTTACAGTGTAATATTTTCACTGGCTCACTGGTCTGTTGTTGTTTTTTTTCAAAGAAACCTGAGAATTGTCTCTTGTGAGGAAGGCAAGGTATTTTCAGCGTAGTATTTCCATTACCTAAAATAGATTTTAGAAGGTTGCTTTGGAAGAATTCTTGAGTGGCCTAAAATATCTCCAGTCTATACAGATGCCTTCTCCACAGCCCCTGTATATAAAGGGCAGGACTTGATTTAGAGCAGATGATATTTAAAATGTTGAATGCAATGTGTTTTTGTTAGCTTTGTACCAGACTCAGGAAGGCAGGAACAAGAGCGAAATTTGTCACTGATAGATCCATCTGATGGGTGCTGCTTTTCTCAGGACAGAAAGAAGGAATTAATACTTGTGACGTTAGATTAGCTTGGCAAATAAGATTGAAGGATGACTTGGATCCCCAGAATTCACTGAGATATCGTTGACTGGTGACGCCATACTTGAAATAACACTCCCATTTCTGGTCACCACAATGCAAAAAAAGAGATGTTGAGACTCTAGAAAGATGAAGGGTTGGAACTGGGTGTGTCTCTAATCTAAGAAAGAGAAGGACCAGGGGCGATATGATAGCAGTCTTCCAATATCTGAGGGACTGTCACAGAGAATTTGGGGGGGGGGGGGGAGTCATCCTCTTTGCCAAAGCACCAAAGGGCAGGACAAGAAGTAACAGATGGAACATGTTTACATTATAAATAGATTATTAAAGAGTTACCCTGTAGTTAGATGGGCAGCCAATAAATTTAGATGGATGGATGGATAGATGGATGGACTGATGGATGGATGGATGGATGGATGGATGGATGGATGGATGGATAGATAGATAGATAGATAGATAGATAGATAGATGATAGATAGATAGATAGATAGATAGATAGATAGATAGATAGATAGATAGAGATAGAGATATATTAGATGATAGGTAGATAGATAGGGCTAGATTAGATAGATAGATAGATAGATAGATAGATAGATAGATAGATAGATAGGAAGGAGAGACAGATTGGATGGATGGATAATGATCCAACCTAGAGTTAAGGAGAAATTTCTTCACAGTGAGAACAATCAGTCAGGTGGGTGCTCTTACCACTGGAGGTTTTCAAGAAGAGACTTGAGAGCCATTTGTCTGGAATGGTATTGGGTCTCCTGCCACGGGCAATGGGGTGGACTAAAAGACCTCCAAGGTACTTTCCAGCCCTATGATTCTATGTTCTATCGATAAATATTTGAGGATTGGACTAAAATGTCTGATGAAGACCTCACGTTTTGCAGTTAGGGGAAGGAGATTCTGCCAAACCCCCAAATTAAAAACAACAACACAAAACTGGAATGACTGCATACATGCACCTTAAGACTCTCTGTGTACTTCTTAAGGCCGCAAGCAGAGCCTGTGGGTGCATGGGGCAGACCAGCCCTGACTTCCTCACCGACCCAAAGCATATTCTTTGTGGTTTGTGCTGTGTGGGCCAGCTTATGGCAGGAAATGGTGGAGGAGTGTAAAAGAGGGACTTGCAGAGAGAGAGAGAGAGAGAGAGAGAGAGAGAGAGAGAGAGAGAGAGAGAGAGAGAGAGAGAGAAAGGTAGGTAGGCAGGCAGGTAGATAGATAGATAGATAGATAGATAGATAGATATCACTTGCCACCATATAATCCCAAATTATTTTCCAAAGAAAAGAGTGAGAGGGGGGGAGGAAGAGAGAGAGGGGGGGGGGGGGGGAAGAGAGAGAGGTGTGTGTGTCAGTGTTTCACTGACAATGTGATGGCTTAGTTGGTGTCTAATATCTAATTCTAAATGAGAACAGAAGAATCTATGCCAGCTCTGTGCCACCACTCCAGGACAAGGCCTAAGGGCTGAGCGTGTCTCGAAGTTCCCCAAAAGTGTGACCACGTGGTGTCGAGTTTGCCGAGAACAGTTTCAACATAAGACTTCCTTTGCTTGCGATGCTGAACTTCAGTATCCTGCCTGCCGTAGGCCAGTCCCACTATTAGCAAATCCGAAGTCAGCTTTGCCCACAGGCAGAAATCCTTTGCGAAGCTCAGTTGTTCTCTGGTGCATTCCGATGCCTCCCCCCGAGAAAAAGTTCCTGATAAAAGGAGTAGGACTCATATCCACAGTTCCTCTTGTTATTGGGGGTACTCCACTCTTAGGTAGCCCTGTTGATGTTCAAAGCCAGGGGTATCCAACTGTGTCAACTTTAAAACCTGTGGACTTCAACTCCCAGAATTCCCATGGCTGGTTGAGGAATTCTGGGAGATGAAATTACAAGTCAGTTGCCAAGGTTGGACACCTCCAACCATGTCTTTCTTTTCTTCTTCCTTCTTCTCTTCCTTCTTCTCCTCTTCCTCTTCTTCGTTCCTTCTTTCCTTCCTTTATCCTTCTCCTACTCCTCCTTTCTCCTCCTCCTCTTCTTTCCTTCCTTCCTTCTTCTCCTTCTCCTCCTCGTTAATTTTTAAACCAAATGGTTCTCCGGCTTTATTTGTGTCTTGTATGAATATTACAATTATTCTTATTAATGTTTGATTATCAGGATATTTTGGTAAATCTCTAAATAAATGTGATAAGTGATTGTTTTGTTCGAGTAAAACAGGTGCCGGTGGGGTTCCAAGGTGGATTTCAGGTTGAGGCACTTAGTTAAGCTTAATCCGTAGTAAACCGATTACCTTCCAACGACAGCCTTACTTGTTTGTCCTTGGGGTGACCGAACTCCTTCCAAGCAGCCCAGGGACCTCTTCCAGGAAATGGGCTGGTTTGCTGGGTTGTGTGTGTGTGTGTGTGTGTGTGTGTGTGTGTGTGTGTGTGTGGATCTTTGGTTATTCGGGTTTTCTCCCACGTAAGATTGGAAGTATCTAGGCAACGTTTCGATGAAGTCTCATTCATCATCTTCGAGAAGCACAGAGCCGAAGACACAAGCCTGAAAATGATGAATGAGACTTCATCGAAACGTTGCCTAGATACTTCCAATCTTACGTGGGAGAAAACCCAAATAACCAAAGATCCACATACAAATACCCGCAAGAACCTCAGAAAACAAATACACACACACACACACACACAAACACACACGATTGACAGGTGCTCATCTCCCAAGCGACTCTAGGTGCCTCCCAACCAAAAACCAGCCTCCAAAAATACAACCGACCCAAAGAACAGAAGACCAAAACCCAAATCCAACCCAAAGTAACTCAAACCGAGGCAAAACCAGGATGCACTAAAAGAAGACACCTCCCAAGGTCCCTTCCAACTCTGTTACTCTGTTCTATTCTAAATATTCTCTTTCTGAAAATAAGTTACAACTCGGGAGAAAAAGAAATAAATGGGAGTAGCAGCTTTTGCAAGCAACATGTTTTGTTTTAAAAAAAGCATTCTCTTTCATCAGCCCCCATGCATCTTATTTACGTTTTATTGAAAGGCATTGGCTGATCAAAGCTAATGCCTTTTAATAAAACCTGTTGGTCGGAAAAGGTGATTCAGGGTAGTCTTCAAATTGCAAACAGGTCAGTCGGTGACCCTTTGATGTGACATACGTGTGTGTGTGCGTGAGAGAGAGGGAGAGTGTCCCTTTTTCCAGTGCTGTTGCAACTTTGAACAGTCACTAAACGGATGGTTGTAAGTCGAGCACTACTCCTGTAATATTAAAGCAAAGATGGAAGTCATAGGTCCACTGGGGAGAATTTGGCAGATGCATTAAACCTCTGAAAAATTACATTCGGTCCATCCTCTGTCAAGCAGGTCTATCAGAATACAGAATAATAGCGTTGGAAGGGACTTTGGAGGTCTTCTAGTCCACCCCCACCCCCTCCATCCTCAAGCAGGAGACCCTGTATACCAGTGGACAAACTCTTCTCCAACAAGGGACCATCCAACTTCTCCTCCCCCACCCCACCCCCGGGCATCCTTCAAAAAGGCTGTGATTCTACCTACAACCTTCTCCGTGCAGAATTTATGCCCTGGCCTTGCTAAGTTGATGTTATGACTGGAGGAGCAACGTTTATTTTTCCGTGGTAGAATGATCATATAAGGCAAACGAAGGATAGCGTTTGTCCTTCAGCCTTCATCCGTATCTCACTGTGGTAGGAGGCACAGTGGCTCGGGAGGGTCATCTTTCAATGTCTCCAGCGGCTCCTTGTTCTGACGCCACTACGTCTTCCAAAGTTTCTTCCAATGTTGAGACTCTAGAAAGAGCACAGAGAAGAGAAACAAAGACGATTAGGGGCTTGGAGGATAAAACGTATGAAGGAGGATTGCAGGAACTGGGCATGGCTAGTCTAAGTGAAGAGAAGGACCAGGGGTGAGATGATAGCACAGTTCCAGCATTTGAGGGGCTGCCCCAAAGAGGAGGAAGAAGGGGTCAACTTATTCTCCAGAAGGCAGGGCAAGAGAGAACGGGTGGAAACCCATCAAGGAGAGAAGCAACCTAGAACCAAGGAGAAATTTCCTTCCAGTGAGGACAATTAACCAGTGGAACTGCTTGCCTCCAGAATTTGTGGATTTTCCAACACTGGAGGTTCTTCAGAAGAGATTGGCCAACCATTTATCTGCAATGGTAATAGGAGACTCCTACTTGAGAAGGGGGTTGGACTAGATGACCTGCAGGGTCCCTTCCAACTCTATTATCCCGTACTCTCTTCTTCCCCCGCCTGCTTCTCCTTCTCCTGAATTTCTCTTCTGCTTGAGGGAGGCTCCTGGGGCCAGCCCTTGTCCCCAGCCCCCAGAGTCCTCTCCATGGCAATCTCATGTTTCAAACCTGCCAATTCAGCTTCCCACAGATCGCTTTTGACTTTCCACATCATGCGCTCCCCCCCGCCCCGCCCCCCTAGCATGAATGCGCTGAAAGAAGAGCCAGCCAGCTGGCCCATCTCTTTATTTATTTATTTTTCCCATCACCTACTCTTCTGCCAAACGCTTTTATTTGATTAACCGGAGAATTTAGAGGGCTCTCCGCGGCCATTGTTTCCCCAATACGTATCCATATTTTAAAGAAGAACTTTTTAAAAATCATAGAAACAGTCTTGTGAGCTCTTGTGCCCCAGGAGCTCTTTAACCTACCCTCGTGGATGTTAAAATGTTTTACACCTTATATTCATATGGTTCCTGGTTGTATGTAGCGGTTTGGTTGTTAATTATTAATTAAATTAATTGATTAGTAATTAAATTCCTTGTGTGCCCCCTCACACTTGACCAATAAAGAATTCTATTTAAATTTGATTAGGGTGTTGATGGCTGGCTATTAAGTCTTCAATGGTTCTTTCTTTGTGCCAAGCAATCTGCCATAGAGCCATATCAATATGAGGCCTAGAGCAGCCCAGGGCACCCCTTCTGGAGGCTGAGCCATTCTCTGAGGATGGGGTTCAGCACAGGTCCGAAAGCCCGGAACACTTAAATCTTGAGTCCCAATGACCACCTAGGTTTGAATCCTGGAAAATTATCCCAGGACGCCATATCTGGAATCTAAAGCAACTTGATTTGTAATAGTAGAAATGCAAACGGTCCGCTAAGATCTTCTTCCTCAGTTGGATGGTCTGAGCGGGTTGGATTTCAGCTTCTAGGATTCTCAGTCTTTGGTCCACAAATTAGAGGAGTTAAAATGCAGCATATTTAAAGTGCAGGAGAAGAAATGTGTAAGGCAGAGCTAGAAAGGAGTATAAGGGTGCAGAGAAAGAGTGAAGCAACTAGGATGATTCAAAGCCTGGAGACAAAAATGTATGAAGAAGGATTGCAGGAATTGGGTTTGGCTACTAGGGAAAAGGAGGACTAGCGGGGACAGGATAGCAGTGTTCCAGTATTTGAGGGGCTGCCACAAAGAAGGGGGGCTCAAATTATTTTCCAAAGCACCAGAAGGGAAGACAAGAAACAACGGATGGAAACTGATCAAAGAAAGAAACAACCTGGAATTAAGGAGAAAGTTCCAAACAGAGAGGACAATTAACCAGTGGAACAACTTGCCACCAGAAGTTGTGGGTACTCCATCCCTGCAGGTTTTTAAGAAACGTTACAGTCACTTGTCTGAAATGGTATCAGATCTCTTGCTTGAGAGTGGGTTGGACTAGAAGACCTCCAAGGTCCCTTCCAACTCTATCTATCCCATTCTAAATGGGACAGTGAACTCGGAGTCAATGAATTTGGGGTCATGCCTTAATCACGCTCATCTTTGCCCCTCAGGTACTACCGAGGGACCCACGGGGTCATTGTGGTTTATGACGTCACCAGCGCAGAGTCTTTCGTGAACGTCAAGCGATGGCTGCATGAAATAAACCAGAATTGCGACGATGTGTGCCGGATATTAGGTAAACTCTCTGGCTCGGGGAAGGTTTTGATAGAACAAGGCCCACCCCATTAGAAAACCCTTATCCCATAATATGCTGCTGCAATCTATAAGAAGTACCTGAACTGTGAACTATTTAAATTTCCCAGTCTCCATTTATTTTCCCATGAACTTTGTAAGTAGTTTTAGATAAACTGGGTCTTGGCCACCATTAAATCTCCTCCCCCCACAAATCTGCAGTATTAGAATAACAATTCCAATCTAAGCATGGATAGCTTGCCCTAAGAAGAGAGAGAGAGAGAGAGAGAAAAGGAAGGCACCCAGAGACGACTAAGTTCACCCTTTCCATCTGGGAGTTTTAATAGGCAGTCCTCAACTTAAGGACTGGTTGCTTAGCAAGTGAAATTACAAAGAACACCCCCCTCCAAAAAAATAAAAAAATAAAAATAAAGGGGGACTTACAACCCAGATGTGAAATTCCAACAATCAGGTCCTCTCTATAGTCACAGGGCCAAACTTCGGGGATTCAAAAAATAAAGCCGTAAATTTGCAGCATCACATTCACATTTTTTTTTAAAATTTATTTAAGAAATGTATATCGCCGCCTCTCTGCACATGGCGACTCAAGGCAGCTTACAGAATGTAAAACCCCATATAAAGCCAGTAAAAGAAGAGTCATGTAATGAATTAATCTACTAAAATCGCCCTCCCCACCCACCCACCCCGGTGACAGCACCTTACACAAGCCGTTTGACGGGCTCCACCCCTCTCTGGGTTCCCCAGGCCCGCTGGCAGAACCAGGTCTTTTATGACAAATTTGGCCAAACCCATCACTTCCTTCCAGTTTCCGGCAAAACCATGCCAATAGCGAACCAATGATTTGTTTAACATCTGTGGACTTCGCTTTACAGTGGACATGTTCGCTTAATGAACACACACACACCAAAATAAAATTGGGAGCATCGCTTGATGAGCCATTTTATGGCCATCAACCGTTGAAGGCCCCCTGCAGTTCCAACCCACCCAGCGGGCTCGAGGAAGGAGCAGTTACGCTTCAAACAAAGATACCTTTTTATGAGAGGAGAGATCAATTGTTCCTGTGCTTTTTATTGTATCCTGAATTATTGATGCTTTCTTGAGGTTCCTCCTAAAAATAAAATAAAAAGCAGCGATATAGAAATCCCTGGGGAAAGAAAAAGTAAAACTTCCATTACTGCTAGGCCAGATTTTATACCTCCCTTGAACCTTCAGCAGCGTCCGATCCATTTTTACAAGTTTGCAGCCGTGACTTGTAAGAAACGACGGATGGAAACGCATCAAGGCGAGAAGCAACCTTGAACTAAGGAGGAATTTCCTAACAGTTAGAACAATTAGCCAGTGGAACAACTTGCCTCTAGAATGCTTCAACACTTCAGTTTTTTAAAAAAGAGATTGGGCAACCATTTGTCCAAAGTGGTAATTGTGTCTCCTGCCTGAGCAAGGGGTTGGACTAGAAGACCTCCAAGGTCCCTTCCAACTCTGTCCTCCTGACTTTTGGTTTCCATTGCTCCCACAGTTGGCAATAAGAACGATGATCCGGAACGGAAAGTGGTAGAGACGGAAGATGCCTATAAATTTGCTGGGCAGATGGGCATCCAGCTGTTTGAGACCAGTGCCAAAGAGAACATTAATGTGGAAGAGGTAATTGGGAAAGACGAGGGGGGTTACCAGTATGGCTTCAAGAGTCCAAGAGCCTAAGAGCCAAAGGCTTTTCCCAATCTTTTCTTCCTATTTCACTCACGATTCCTCCTAGTCACCAACTCCTTACGCTCCCTGGTCCCGTAACATGCTTCCTGGGGCTCTGCCACAGGGGCAGCAAGTAAGGTGGGATTAGATTTAATCCAGCACGTCAGGATTTTGGAGACAGCATACAGCAAGGCTGCCTTCTTCCTAAATTCAGCAAGATGAGCCTCCTGAGGCTACCCTTTAGGGCGGGAGTGTCCAGCACGGTTGTCTCCTGAGTTCCAAACGTTTTTTTTCCCCCTTCCAGTGGCAGGTTATGGGAAAGCAGCCTGTCTGGCTCCCATCGACCTGCCTTTGGTTTAGATGTGGGAACCAGGCAGATGGAGGTGGCTTGTAAGGAACAACAAAAGCATTCCAAGCTCTGGATAATCCAGGAACAACCCTTCAAAGATAACGACAGATTAACAGAAGAAGAGGGCGGGCTTTTTACACAAGAGGGACCATTTGGTAGTCGCCCGCAGCCTTATAACTCCAGCTCAGGGGAAACGAGGCCTTCCTATCTCTTGGCCTCCCTCCTCCCTTTCACCCCAGAGGCTGCTGGGAGATGTAGTTCAGCAAGCACTTCCGAGCCCCTGAAACCAAGGCCTCCGTAACCCCCATTCCTAACCGCCTCCTTTCTTCCCCTCCCCCTTCTTTTTTTTTCTTATCTCCTTTCCTCCCCAGATGTTCAACTGCATCACGGAGTTGGTTCTCCGGGCCAAGAAAGACAACCTCGCCAAGCAGCAGCAGCAGCAACAGAACGACGTGGTGAAACTCACAAAGAACAGTAAACGGAAGAAGCGTTGCTGTTAATGGCCTTCCTCCTCCTCCTCCTTCTCCTCCTCCTCCTCCTCTGGGGGCGGCAGAGACTGGGCGCTCGGGCAGCCCCGCCCTCGCAGCCTGGTGCATGCGATGCCCCGGGACTCTTCCTCTCCCCTTCCGTTCTCCCTCCTCACGTGCCGTTATTTAAAGGAGCTCCCGCCGTCTCCTCGATCGGGAGGCGCCTTACCTTGACCGTGCCAAGAACAGGATGGGACGGACGAAGGTCCCGCCCCGACTCCGCCCATCCTCAAGTTTATTTTATTTTTTTCTCTCTCTCCCACCCCTCTTGGAAGAGCATCTCGTAGACCAGGGGAGACTTGGCCTACGGAGGGGACTTCAGCGTTTGTACATAATGTATATGGGCTTTGAACCAGCTGCACTTCCCTCGCCGTCGCTTCGGGCTTCTGCCTTCTCTGACTCCACCAATCATGAATTGTTCAGAACTCTCCTCTTTTTGGGGGGGTTGGTTTGTTTGTTTTTGTTTACTTGCTCTCTTCCCCCCCACCCCTCTCTCCAGAAAATACGGTCCAAGAATAACCTTAAAACCAGCGGCTGTCGTTGGCTGTTATTCGTCAGCCTTCATTAGCCTTTTAAGCGAGGAGTGGATCCTTGGTGATCATTTTTGAAATTCTTTTTTTTTTTGCCCGATTCTGGAATCATTGGACATTCCTGGCGTTGTTTTGTGTTCTCTTGCCCTTTGATTCCCTCCTTTCGAGGGAAGGATGAAGATCCCACTTTTATAACGTTCAAAATCTCCACGGCAGAGAAAAATTAGGAATTAAAACTTGTATTTGCCCTCCTGGTAGCATTCCTGTCCTTGTAAGACTTCAGCAACACAAATCATCTCTTCCCCCCCCCCCCTTTTTTTTTCCTTTTTTCTTTTTTAAATAAGCGTGTATCATTCTGTACAGGTGTGAAGTTTGAACGGAGAAATGTGCTTCTGACGGGATCAGTTCTTTGTGGTTCTCTTCTTCCTTTTTGCCCTCCCCTGGAGAATTTGGGAAGGGGGGGCTGGATGTTTTTCGCCTCTTCGAACCAAACCTGCCTCTCGATTCCATTTCTAGCTGCCGAAGAGCGAACCATTCTTCCCATTAGGTTAAAACAAGATCATACGAGCTTCACCCAGCATATAATCACCAGCTTTTGATCTGATGCCCCACGGAGCATATCAAGAGGGGGCCAAAAAAAAGCCACCCAATCCTCAAATCACGTCCCACCCTCGGTTGTCCTGGCGTCTGACAGTGTTAAGAGATGACCGATGTCAATCCTTGGACTTCCGAATCTTACCGGAAGGGCTGGGCAGAAACCCTGTATTTATTGTCCGGCTGCTGTTTTAGGAAAGGAAGCAGCTGCCTGCAGCCGCCCCGCTCAAAGCGAAGAAGGGACCAGGAGGTTCCCCTCCGCCGAAGGGAGCCATCTTCCACTTCAGCCAGCCGTGTTTCACCGTGGACTTGTAAGATGCTTCCGACCTTCTCGGAGACAGCTCGGGCCCTGAGCAATTCATGGTTTTAGAAGGACCTCCGGCCGCCACGGAAGCCCGTAAAGAGGAACGAGAACAGGGGTTTGGATGTCGGCCGGGGAGGAGAGGCCGGCCAGAAGCACCGGTGAAATTCTCATTTTCTCAAAAACGCAGTGCTCTCTAGTGAACAGGCAGGGTGTGGGGGGGCTATTTGCCCAGCCTGGGAATCCCCAAAGGGGAAGGAGAGGGGGAGGCTTCCCAAGGCAACATCTCCAGGCCTGTCCTCCGGGAGGGTGGTTTGCTACGTAACCTCATCGTGAGCGCGGCGAATGGTGCAACAGGGTTGGGAAGGGGAAAAGGTTAGCAGTGCTAATGTGGAAAGTGAAAAAAAGTCTGACTGGTTTGCTTTAGATGATTTCTGTATATTCCGGACTTTCTAATTAACACTTTTTAAATAATTAAGAAGGGGTGAAAAAAAACCAACTAAAAATAAAGGTGCCAAGCTGCCACGTTTTTGCTCCCGGGCTCCAGTGTTTGCTTCTCTGTCGAAACCTCTGGCAGGGTGCAAGCCCCCCTCCTCAAATCTTGGGGGAAAGACACTTGGAAAGCAGTGGAGACTCCCTTCCGAAAGGGGTTTGTTTGCCCACAGTGGTTTCTTGCACAAAAGGGCTGGGTGGGGGGTGGTGTTGAATTTCCAAGCTTCGTTGGCCAAGTCCGTCTTTTTGTCCTTTTTCGGTGGATGTAAACGGAGGGGTTAGTCGTATGTGACCCGTTGCATTGGCCTGTGTGGTTGTGAGTTTTCCCCCCGTGCTAAGTTGATGTGGCCACAAGTAGCAATCGGGATCCTCGGGTAGCAGGGAACACGGATTTTTCTTTTTCTTTCTTTTCTTACGGTAACAATTCCAAGAGAGAGTGTTGAACTGTTTCAATAAATAAATTAGAAAAAAAACCAAACATCTTGAAACCAAAAAGTACCTTTGTGTGTGTGTGTGTGTTGGCAAGACCCTTTTATTTCTTAAATCGGAAATGGGAACCAGCCTCGGGGAGACGGCCGGCTGAATTGATGTCACCTGTCTTCAATGCTTCGGTCCAGAATTGGCCCACTACATTCCCACCGTCCTTTTGCAGGTTGCCATCTTGGTGTTGTGGCCTGTCGGCCGCCAGCTCCTTCAACAGCTGAATCAGAGGAGGAGGAAGAGGTGTGGGAGTCGGGGCCAGCATCCTTGCTCCAGCTCCTAGCAGTTCAGAAGCATGCAACTGCGAGTAGATAAATAGGTTGTTGTGGCCTGTCGGCCGCTGGCCCCTCCCACAGCCAAATCAGAGGAGGAGGAAGTGTGGGAGTCAGGGTCAGCATCAAGGCAACCTGAGAGCTCTGAGGGGAAAGAAGAGGGAATGGAGCTGGCACACAGAGAGGCAGAGGCGGAGCCTGGGCCATCCGTCAGCCCTCCGCCGGAGAGTCAACAGCCCCCAGGTCTGGAGGTGGCTGGTGAGGAAGAGGAGGAACAGCTGGGCCCAGTGCCTGACGCATGGATGCACAGAAGGCAGAGGAGAGGAGAGCAGTGGAAATCTATGAGCCGGTCCTTGGGATGGAAGAGCCGCCACTGCTAGCGAGGCCCCCACCCTAGCTCTGGGGATAAAAGACTGGGTGGAGATGACTAGAAGTGTCAGACTTCTTGATGGACGGACTTGCTAGCCTGCGGCGAGAGAGAAACTTTTTGCTGGGGCTCCTAATAAAGGAATAATTTTATTTAAATACAGCGGGTGTGTTTGGGGAGCTGGCTCAGAATGCTCGGCTGCTTCAGTAGCCCAGTCAGATGGCGATTCAAACGTGATAAAGACGTCCTCAACAAGTATGACTGAACCTCAAAGTCTTTTCCATCTACAAAAGGGGTCCCCAACCCTCACCCCCTTCCGTGGACCGGCACCGGGCCATGCAAAGAAGCGAAGCCTCACCCGTGGGATGCAGGCAGCGCACGAAACCACGACGACGCCTCTGGTCCACGGGGGGGGAAAAAAACCCACCATGAAGCTGGTCCTTGGGGGACCACCGAACTACCACACCCACGTCCAGATTGAGTCCCCCCCCACCCCAAAGAGCCAGGAGTCGTGTGCTTTTTCTACTAAAATATGCCTTTATAGAATATCTTATAAAAACCGTACAGTTATATACAGGACTGCTACGTACAAAAATTACGATATGGTTTTGGTATGTACACAGACCTATATAAATACATTCTGTCTGCCCGCTCCAGCAATGTGCTTGTTTCACCCTTCCTTCCCCTCCACCCACACGCCACCACCACCACCCAGTAACCCCACCCCCCCGTCCCCAGTGACCAGCCAAAACCAGCTCTCCAGTGTCTCTGGCAGAGGGGAAGGCGCCAGTCAGGCCACACGCCAAAAGGCCAACGTGGCCTCTTGCCAGCCGCAAAAGCCGCCTTCGGTTCCCAGCCCTCTTCCCTGGCAGCGTCCTCTGGACCTCTTGGACTATATATCCCATCATTCCCAAACATTCCAACAACATCCATGCAGGCAGGGCAAAACTGGGGTTGGGGGGTGGGGCAATGTAGTCCTTGACATCACCCGAGGGGCAGAATTTTAAGGGCTGGCTGATAAACCTGGTTCCAGTTACGGAAGAGGATATAAGCTGCCTATCGTGGCAAATCGGATTTCCGCCAAATCCAGGAGGGAAAAAAATAATAATGAAACCCTCCCTTTCCAAAATAAAATAAAATAAAATAGAGGAGCGGAGCAAAAGTGTTTGTGTGCAGGGATTTTCTTTCTTTTTAAGGATGAGATTTCTCACCCAACTCGCCTCTCTGCCTTCATGAGAGTCTCTGTTCTGTTTTTCTCTCCTTTCTCCCTCCACGGCGAAGGGAGTTGGCTTGCGGGCTTAACTCCCCACCTAACCATGATTGCTGTTCGCACAACCTTGCCTTCAAGTTATTTCTTTACGGAGAGCCCACGACTCCCCCCCCCAATTTTTTTTCCCCGTGGCTAAGCAAGACCGCCGCTAAGCGAGCTTCGCTCCACCGTACGAGGGTTTGCCACCGTTATTAAGCAAATCCATCTGGCGGCTAAGTGACTTGTTCGGTCGTGTATTGTTCCTAACATGTTCCGTTAATCCCAGGTCAGGAAGCTTGTCTGAATACGGCCATCATCTTGGGTGGCTTACTACACGGATGACTTATGTTTTATCGGCCATACGTGTTGGGACTCTATTGCGTACACCTGCCCAACAGCGCCAAGACCATTCTTGGTAGAAGAAGAAAGCACCAAATTAGATCCAGGCCAGTCTTAACCAACCCATGTTGGCTGGGGAACGATGGAAGTCATCATTCTTCGAATTTAGGGGGAGTAACACTTCGGAAAAGCCCTGCAAAAGTTGCGAAAGACAAAAATACACCATCTAGCTTGTCATACAAATCAGATCCCAAAGGACAATTTGAGGTGCTCAATTGAGCAGCAACAAATGGACTTGAATTCTCTCTCCAAAATTGTGGGGGTATAATTTAACCCAAGTTATCTCCCCATTTTGCCTGATTTGGCACCTTCTCCCAATTTCCAGAAATATTTTTTTTTTCCTTCAAGTTCCAGAATCTCTTACTGGCCACCACCTTTGCGTAATACTTAAGAAACTCTGGGCCTTGAAATTGTAGACCTACCTAGCATTTATTAATCTTGGCAGCTTGAATATTTCTCCCCAGTCCTGGGCGATTCTGGGAGTTGAAGCTCACCCATCTTCAAGCCACCCAAGATTGAGAAATGGGGTTCCAGAAAATTATCCGGTTGGGAAACGCCCAGATCGAAACCTTGATCATATCAGCTGGTTTTTTTTATTCCTGATCCTACTTTTTCCACCACCCCCAGAAATAAGGTGCCAGACGGCAAATTGTCGCAATGCCTCCCAACACAAATCATCGCAGATGTTATTGTGCTAACCCAACCTAGTTTCCCCACGGCCTTCTTTTAAATATGATTGGCTTAATTAACCCTAATGATAACCATGAAAACCATATCCTCCTCCACATGGGAGAGAAGGACGTAGCCACGATTAGTGCAAAGGCTATGAATTGAGCCATTCATGGGTGACTTGGAGATGTTCTCCAACATCTAACATTCTTAGCTGGCGTAGGCACCTTCCTTGATCTTCTAGTCCTAATACTCATGGAAAGCTTGAGAAAGGCCAGCACTGAGGCAAGATGTCCTAGCTTAGAAAGAACCTCTGGCCATGTCTTGTACCCACAACCTAAGGCAGAACCTTCTCTCACCCATGACAACTTTTAAGATATGGGGACTTCAACTCCCCAGCCAAGCCAGCTCTGGTCTAAGGCAACTGGGGAAGCGGGAGGAGGGACACTTGGTTACTTTCCTCCAGTTTAGACCAGGGGTCTCCAACCTTGGCAACTTTAATCCTGGAGGACTTCAAGCCCAAGAATTCTGGGAGTTGAAGTCCCCCAGGCTTAAAGTTGCCAAGGTTGGAGAGACCCCTGGTCTAGAGAACTTAGATGTCTCCAACTACCAGTCATTGGAACAACTTCATCATATCTGACCAGCTACCATTATTGTTGTTGTTTCTTCTTCTTCTTCTTCTTCTTCTTCTTCTTCTTCTTCTTCTTCTTCTCCTTCTCCTTCTCCTTCTCCTTCTTCTTCTCCTTCTCCTCCTTCTCCTCCTTCTCCTTCTCCTTCTTGAACTTTAAATTAAGAAGCTGTTAAGAAGTTGTCTCCATGATGCTAATTTTTAAAGATCTGCAGAGTTGCATTTCCAACTGCTATAACCTGACCGCTCAAAAGGACCTCAGTAGCAGTGATCTTGGCTCTGTTGGAGCTGCTGTTCTCAATTTTGGAAGAAGTCATGCAGAGCTGGTGTGTTAAGAGTGAGGGCATGGAGCCAGTTTCTAGTCTCACCATTATTTGGTCACAGAAGCTCCCTGGAAGACATTGGACCATTCTTTCTCAACCCCAAAACCAGAATGGTGTAGACACGAAGAACCTCAGGTCCAGTCCAACCTCAACCTTGGAAGCTGCCTGCGTGATTTTGGGCCAGTCAAGTTGTTCCCAGCCCAGTTACCTCATAAGTGCATATCAAAAAAAAAAAATGGAATATTAATACTGGATTTTGTGACAGGAAGACTGGATTTCTATCTACCCACAACCTCTTTCTTAAGCTGGTGTTTTCTGGATGGGTTGAGCCAGGCTTCCTTCATTGTCAACCTGCACAGGACAGGGGTCCAAGATCCCTGGAAGACACCAGGTTGAGAATGATGGTTCTAGAACCAAGAGGTTCTTCTCACCGAGCCCACCAACCTGGGTTGTATCCCAATTGTTGCAGGGAAGAGCAATCTCTGATCAAATGGGCTATTTTACCCTCTGAAGAGGTAGAACTTAGGTAGCCTGATGGCTCATGATGAAGGAAGCATGAGAGGCAAGATTGAGGGAGGAAACCTGGAGTCTTTTGAAGGTTTCTCCTGGAGGCAAGTAGGATCTTTTTCTCTCTAGAGAGAAGATCCCTCTGTCCTTTGCCCTCTACCCTAGTTTCAAGCAGGCTTCCTCTGGGGACCAGGAGACACTTAAGGATGGAAAATGAGTGTTATGGATTTGGATAAGGAAGAAGTATCCTTTCCAGACTTTGCATAATGCTTAACTGGGTGGTCCCTCAAGAGATCTGCAGATCTGCTTCTGGAACATAACATTGTGGATTGGGACTTGGGACATCTGCTCTCTTGAATGAAGGAAAAGTGGTTTCCCCTAAATGCTTTCCCCTTGGAACCAAGGGGTGGGATTCAGCCGGTTTGCACCGGTTCACACGAACCGGGTGCTAATTTTATGTCTCGTTCACCAAACTGGTAGTTGCAAGGACTGGCTGGCCCTGCCCACCCCTCCCCTCCCTGGAGTGTCCATGCGGCAGGTAAATACAGGGTTCACACGGAGGCTCGTGAAGGGCAAAAACATGGGCCTCCTGGAAGTCCAGAAACGGGCCTATTGAGGGTTCTCCAGAGCCTGGGGGAGGCCATTTTGGCCCTCCCAGAGACTCGAGGGAAGCTTCCGGAGTGTGGGGAGGGCAAAAACACGGGCCTCCTGGAAGTTCTGGTAGGCCCCACACCCCCCATGGCCACGCCCACCCAGCAACTGGGTAGAGAACCGATGGCTGAATTTTTTTGAATCCCACCCCTGATCGGAAGAGCCACGTCCCTAATCCCACGCTCTTCAGACAACCCCGCTCCCTTGAATTTTGACTTCTCCGTGGACCCTAAGGCCGTACAGGCTAGCTACAAACTAGGCTTCCTTCACTCTTGGGGGCTGTACCGACATTAAACCTGGTCCAGACTTCAGAAGGAGTTGAGCCTCCTCACTCACAAGTTCTGGTCGTTCACAGGTCCAGAAGGTCTAAGGCAAGCATTCCCCCCGTGATTGCTATTGGAAGATCTTGATAACTGAGGATGTGCTCAAATGTCCTCACCGTTGATGTTCTGTCCCCGCAAGTCCCTTCTAGTGATGTTTTGGGAGATCCCCAAATACTGTTATCTCCACCTCGTGACTAGGCAACCCAGAATAACAACAAGCTGATAAGAAACCTTATCCTGCTTGTTTTTTACGCTGCCCCAATTGTTCTCTCTGTCTTTCTACACCTGAATTTTTCTCTGCCAGAAACCGGCAATCTTGACACCCCGGGCCTATGTCCAATACAGGTAGTCCTCGATTTACAACCGCAGCGGAATGCAACGTGTCCATGGCACTACGGTTGTTAAAGGGAGCTTTGCCTCTGGTTATGACCTTTCTCGCCACCGTTGTTAAGGGGATCACTGGGTCATTAAGCGAACCTGACTTCCCCCCCTTCAACTGACTATGGGGAATCGCGTAACGGCGCAGCCGTCGTTAAGTACGATGCCAGTTGCCAAGCGGCCAAATTTGGATCACGTGACCCTGGGAAATGCCGCCATGGTCTCGAGTGTGAAAAGCGGTCCTGGAGTCCTATTTGTTCGGCGCCATCGTAACTTCGAATGGCCCTTAAACGGACCGGTGTAAGTCGAGGGCTACCTATAGAAGGAAACTCAGGTTGGGGTCTAACCCAAGTGGGCGGTTAAGAGGCGAAGGAAGCCCTTCCCTGTTGCACCGTTAATGCAAAGAGAGGGACAAATGTGAATCTGACCTCACAGATCGCGTGTTTGTGCCAGAGGTGGGATTCAGCCAGTTTGGACCAGTTCTATAGAACCGGCAGTGGAAATTTTGAATAGTCCGGAGAACTGGCAAATGCCGCCTCTAACTGGCCCCGTCCTCATCTCCTCTCCACCTCCCAAGCCCCAACTGATCGGCTGGGTCTTCTTTGGTCGCCCTGCCCAGGAGAACGGAGCTGGAAAGCAGGTTAGTGGGGTGGGGAGGGAATGGGGATTTTACAGTATCCTTCCCCTGCCACGCCCACCAAAACATGCCACGCCCACCAAGCCATGCCCACAGAACCGGCAGTAAAAAAAATGTTTGAATCTCACCACCGGTGTTTGTGTGTACGAGTGAGTATGATGCACTTAAATGCTGAATGGCCTTTTGGCAGTAGCTTGCAGGAGGATCAGGGTTCAGGGACCATGTGCCACCAGCTTTTTCCCAGCTTCCCTCTTGACCTTCCTCCCCTCCTTTCCCCCGTCCCCAACCCAACATGAACATGGGGCGGGGAGGGGCGGGGGGGGGGAAACAATGACCGCTCCCTTCCAATTAATTTTTCTTGAAAAATGAAAACAGGCGGTGGTTCCCTTCGGCTCCCAGCGGCTCGGCACTTTGCTGCTGGAGCTTCAGCAAAGGCGAAGGCCGGGTGCGCCTCTTGGCTCCGTGGCTGCTGGTGGTGTACATCATCATCTGGCTCCATTCCTTAGGATGTCGGTCCATCAGCTGCTGGTCAATGAGCCTCTGCATGTCATCCTACAGCCAGGAAGGGAAAAAAGCTGTTCAGGAGGAGTCAGTGACAACGGGAGGGGGAGAGAGGGGGAGAGCAGGCATCCTCAACCCCCCCCCCAAGCCGCGCGGGGCCTATTTGCAACCGGGCTGCGGGGCGGCGTGCACATGCACGCAGCTCCACTTGCAGTCCAGCTGCTGGGGCATGCACGTGCAGCCATGCATTCCAGCGCACCACTCATGCGGCCCGGTTCCCCTCTCCCCACCCACTCCCAGCCGGGCTGCCAAACTGCAAAAGTTGGGGACCGCTGATGTAGAGCCCGAGAGGTGTTAGCGAGAGGCCCAGGTTAGACCCGCAGATTCAGGGCTGTCCATGGCATATGGTCAAAAATATCAAGACGGCCGCCACCAATCCCAGCACTGCCACTTTTTATGCAGGTTGGCCTAAAAAAAATGGACGGCACACTGACTGATGGGCATTGCCAAAAGGAGTCAATTGCATTGTTTTAATGAGCACTGGCAAGTCAAGGGTGCCGTTTTATTGGCATTGCCAAAAGGAGTCAATTGCATTGTTTTACGGGTATTGCCAAAAGGAGTCAACTGCACCATTTTCTGAGCACTGACAAAGGGAGTCAATGGCACCATTTTATGGGCATTGACAAAAGGAGTCAATTGCATTGTTTTATAGGCATTGACACATGAAGTCAATTGCACCATTTAATGGGCATTGACAAAAGTCGATTGCATTATTTTATGGGCATTGGAGCCTACCCAGTAGACACTCTTCCCTGCAGTTTAGCTTCATCATTTCAGAACTGACCCCACCCCGGATCTGAAGACTAAATAGAAGAGTGTCCACTGGTAGAATATCTGCTGGGGAGAAGGTGGTTTCCATAATCCGTAGTCTTTGGTGTCTTGAATAAGCCAGAATGAGCAGGTTTCAGTCCCTGCCTACTAGGCCCTGAGCTATGATCCGTGGCCCAGAGGTTGGGTTGCCATGACCTGAGAAGCTAAAATATGGGTGGGCAACTCTGCCAAATTACGACCTGTGGACCTCAACTCCCAGAATTCTGGGAGTCTTTTTGACAATCAAACTTAAGGAGGCCGGTTGCAAATGTTTATTCCGCGATTAGGAATTTGAGATAGGTCATCCAAAGGAGAACTGTGGTTTGGCAAGAACTTTGGTGATTTTGCTTAGAATTAGAATAGAATGGATGAGCTGGAAGGGACCTTGGAGGTCTTTTAGTCCAGCCCGCTGCTCCAGCAGGAGAACCTAAACTATCTCAGATAAGTGGCTATCCAGTCTGGGACTGGAGACTAAAACTTATGAAGAATGGTTACAGGAACTGGGCCTGGCTGGTCTAGTGAAGAGAAGGACCAGGGGAGACAGGAGAACAGTCTTCCAATATTTGAAAGGCTGCCACAGAGAGGAGGAAGGGGTCAAGCTATTCTCCAAGACACCTGAAGGCCAGACAACGAACAATGGATGGAAACTGAACAAGGAGAGATTCAACCTAGAAATAAGGAGAAACTTTCTGACAGTGAGAACCATCAACCAATGGAACAGAAGTTGCCCTCGGAAGTTGTCGGAGCTTCATCACTTGAGACTTTCAAGAAGAAATTGGACTCCCATCTGTCAGAAATGATGTAGGGTCTCCTACTTGGGCAGGGGGGGGGTTGGACTAGATGACCTACAAGATCCCTGCCAACTCTGATTATCTGTTGTCTGTTTCTTCTTAAAAGAACTGGAGCTCCCACGATTTTGCATTTTGGGGGGAGCAAGTTCTCAGATTCCACGGTTATTGGAGCCAATCTGATATCGGTGAGCGAAAGGACATCAAAATTTAAAAAAAATCAGATTGCGTGATTACCAGCTGTTTTCACAACGGGACTCGGATAGCTGGTTAGAATTGGAATAAAACAATCCTCAACTTACAACCACGATTCCCGGGCCAGCATGAATTCTGGGAGTTGGAGTCCGCAGGTCGTAAAGTCGCCACAGTGATACCCCAACCCTGTTCTAAGCATTGCCGGTATTCTGGTCCCCGAAAGGGTGATGAAGCCGTACCCAGGCGGGGTGGGGCATGAGAGGGTGCAACGAGGACGGGAAGAAGCGAGGGGAGGGGGCGGTGCTCACCTTAAAGGCAGGAGGGGTGTACGACTAAAGCTGTTGTTACGGGAAGTGATAAAGGCCACTAGATCAGAAACCAAAGAAGCCAAATAGTGAAAAGGCCTGAAGAAGCAAACTGGGAAAAGAAGAGAGAGAGAGAGAGAAAGAGAGAGAGAGAGAAAGAGAGAGAGAAAGAGAGAGAGAGAGAGAGAAATGACCACAAGGAGAAAGGGAGGAACGAGTTCCACCAGGAGAGCTTGCGGGATGCGGGGATTGGGACCGCCCACTTGTGATGCCCCCCCCCAGGGTGTGTCGAGGGGGAATTTCCACAAGGCCAAGTCGAGACGGAGCGGCCACCTCGGGGTCTCGGGAGGAGGTGGCCACTAGTCATGAGGGCTCAACTTGAAAGCTTGGAAGGGAAGGGAAGGGAGGAGGAGGCATTTTAGGGAAAGCCTCTCGGGATCTGCGGGCTGGACGCAAGGGATGCTGGGAGAGGAGGAACCCGGGGAGGTGGGGGGTGGGCTTGGTATCCAAAGGGTGGGACCCCTTTGAAGGTCAGTTATGTGGGTTGTCAAGCCCAGGAACAAAGCCCCTCAAGGAGAGCCCAGCTCTACTGAACCATCTCTCCTGCTCCTCCTCCTCCTCCTCCTCCTCCTCCTCTTGTCCTTTTCTCCAACTCCTCCTCCTCTCCTCCTCTTCCTCCTCCTGTTCTCCTCCTCTTCATTTTCTCCACCTCCTGCTTCTCCTTTTCTCCTCCTCTTCCTCCTGTTCTCCTCCTGCTCTCCTCCTCCTCTTTTTCTCCAACTCCTCCTCTTCCTCTCCTCTTCTTCCTCCTCTTCTCATTTTCTCCACCTCCTGCTTCTCCTTCTTTTCTCCTCCAGCTCCTCCTCCACCTTTTCTCCTCCTCCTCCTCTTCCTC